GTGTCTGTCTGTCTGTCTGCGTGCGTGTGTGTATGTGTGTTTGTGCGTGTTAGTGTATGTATGGGAGTGCATCCGTATTGACGTGTTTGCATGTTTGCACAGGCCTGTATAAATGTATACACATGGGTAGGATACACGTACAAATACATTTACGAATACGGACAAGGATTATAAGATATATAGCATTTTTAAAAGAGTAAATAAATTCATTATGCAGTCTGTAATATGATATATTCATTTTTTAAGCCGTTTCAGATGTCACTTTTTTCATGACCTATGGTTTTACTCATTTCTATCTATATCATATAGTTGTTTGTAGATTTAGTATATACGAGGTCGCATTTAAAAAATTCTCAGACTCTTTAAAGTACCATTCTGAATACAACCAGAAACTCTGTACATTGCTATTGAAATTAGTCAAAAACTTTTCTCTTAATTGAATGTTAACCCAAGGTAATATATGAAAATCGAACTCTATAACCGAATGCAGAGTCTCAGAAATTTTATCACACTTTCTCGTATTAATTACCAACTTTGTAGTTATTGTCCATACCACTGGAAATATTTTGAATGAACAGTTATAGAAGTTTGTGTGAGCATACACACACACATATACACACACATATACACACATAAGTGTGGAGTGTATGTGTCTGTGTGTGCTTGCATATATACTATACTTGTTTATATAGGTGGGTATTTGTCACGGACACGCATATTTAGTTACGGTTCGAATCGTATTTTGTTCAAGTTTCAATTTACTTCATTTTTTCTTTCTTTAATAAAACACATTCATCAAATTCATTCTTCGTTGGAAGGAAAGGAATAAATATGTGACCCCGACTGAGCAAAAGGTCTTTTATATATTTTTTTCTTTTTTTCTCCATTTTTTATTTTCACGAAAAAATATAATTTATTTTCTTCTTAAAATTGAGAGGAGAGACGAGATTAGAAGAGGTGCCTTAATATGTTTGCATAATCATTGGTATCAATGCTATCAATGCTAAGTAAATTAATGAACGTATCAATCATATTAAACATAATTATTAACTCCTTGCACTTTAATCAAATATGGGACTATTTTAAATACCATTTACAAATTGCGGCTAAAACATACAAATTATGTCATTGTTAAGATATGCAAATTATAGATAATAGATTGATTGATAGGTTTTATCATTAATGTAGTTTTAAAAATAACAGATTCATATGTATATCTGTGCATAATTTATATTATGAATACTAAATGTATATACTGTGTGTAAACAAATATAAATGTGCGTTCATTTTTATATACACGTATTCACGCATATTTTTTAACTTAACAGAATATATTTCAATGCTTATTATTGTTATTACACGCACACACACATATATATTTATTAATAAATATATAAAGAATGATTTCTCATGATATTCATTTTTATATTTGCAAATCGATTCTTGTATTTATGGTAATTAATTCATTTTCAAAACTCATTAGAAACATGCTACAACAATTTTTAGGTGTTTTGAACATCTATAGTTGGTTTAGGATGTCATTTTCAGATTTAAATTTAAACGATTTATACGCAATTAATAATACTGCATCAAAAATAACTTCTTTACTAAAATTATTTGAATTTAAATTTGAACAGTAATTCTACTTGTCAAATCTGGTAACTCTAATTTTGTAACCCTCCCACTCTCTTTCTCTCGCTCTACCTCTCGTTTTAATACATTTAAACAAAACTATAGAATTTCATTAAGAAATACAATAACAATTTCTTATAAATTATACTCTGTATGTATTAAATGTTTCTCATCAGAAATACAAAATATTTTTAATCTAATATAAAATCATTATAAACTAACTGCTTCTGCCTTATTTTTTCTCTTATAAAAATCTTTGCAATTTTCATTTGAAAATTGCAATTAAACAATCTTCTTTCAGAAATTTACAGACACGTTTCTTTTATATATCTTGTAATAGTCATGACATTTATCTGATATTTTCCTAGTTTTTCATTTAGACTCAATTCCATTTTTCTTCCTCGATATACCATACTTTCTTTTGGGTTTGAACGTAAACAGCAATGCAATCAAGTTTGAAAAATTAGAAGTATGATAATCAGTTTCTTATTTATTCGTACAATAATCGAAGTTGATCATTTTTATATTTCCACTGAAAATTCATGCAACACGAGATTTTCTTTTTTGGCTATTACTTTGTATCCAAATGTAGGATTTATTCATTTGAAAGAAGCAATGATCTTTCAAAAATTCTTCTTCACATACGTAATCAGTTTAAAGTCTTTCTTTTTTTTTACATTTTCAACGTAGTTACTTGTTTCTTTTTATTTGAATTAATATTTTAACAACAATGAAACAGGTGATAACTAAATGCTGTTGCGTTTGGAACTTCATCAATGTATTAGATTCATTGGCAACAACAAACTTCAAGCTGAATAGCCGTTGTCACCTGGTATGGCTCTTTCTATCCAAAGAGTTCCATCGGACAAATATTTATGTTCATTTATTTAGAAACCCAAAGAAAAATATTAAAGGTTTTGTTTCACCAAGACATCATCGAACAAATATTTGAGTTTAATCGCAAATACATGTATCAGGGCGATATGCATACAATAAACAAGATAGTTATTGATGCTGATATAGTCGTTATAAAATCTGATAGGAATTGGCAAAACCAAAAGTACAAATAATAAAAACTATATTATATATATAATAAAAACGCTTTAGTTTCGACGGATTGATTTAAAATCCAAACACACCAAACGCCTCTGATACAAATAAAAAAAAAAAAACAAAAAAAACAAGCGTACTCTCTTGAGTTTGGACATTGGAGGTGATAAGGTATCTAATTTAATTTGATTTATGACAACTTATACTCAGAGATCCCAAGACATTTTTCCTCGCATACAGTTTTATCTTTCTAGAGTCCGAGGAAACCAAAGAGACGCTATGGCAAAACGCGTCGTTAATAAATTTTCCACATCATCATTTTCCACTTTGTCACATTACAAACTATATAATTTCTTTGGAATTTGTACAAATCACAAAATATATGCATACAAAACCGATAATCTAATGATTTAAAATTTTCGAGGTTTTGCAGAATTTGCCAAAAACACAAAATGACATTTATAAATAAAGCTTATAGTGACGGAAAAAATTTAATTTCCAACCAAAAAAATGTTTATATAAAATTTCTATCCAGATACATGTCATAGATCATTACTCAATATGAAGAGAAACTGTCATTTATATTACTTTTTATATATTTTTGTATTTCTCAAACAATATTGTTTCATTTTTCATCGAACAATGAATATTTTTTTATTTCGGACAAAATGAAATCAAGAAAATTGCACTGACAACAAAATGAAAATCATCTTTCTCGTTTTCTTCCACCTTCATTATTGGAAGTATTATCTGGCTAAATGAATTTTGAAAAAAATATTAAAGATCAAATATAAACACTAAAAGGAAAAACTCTTATTTGGACTTTTTAAAAATGATATTCTTTTATGTCTTGAAAATTTTAGACAACAATTATTATTATCTGAAGTAACGTTCATAAACTTTACATCTTTGGCAACTTCACCGCAAAAAATTGCAGTAAAACAATGTGTCAGGGCATTTTTCTGTTATTATTTCTTACATCTCGAAAACATACCTATAAGTACATGACGAGACGAATCGGAAATGCGTTCTTGAATGCCTAGATATTTTCAAATAATTGAGACAGATGCAGTATTATTCCTTCTACCATTAGCAGTATGTTTCAATTAACGTATCTTAAAAGTTTACAAAATGAAGGCTATTGTATTAGTGTACTATAATAATAGAATATATTTCATTCTTCTAATGCATTATATCATGAATATGAGTACATTTAAGTGTAACTTTTCCCTTTCCTTAACTTTCAATCTCAAAAGTTCTTCGATTTTATCTTGTTAAAACATTCTTCTCATCTGATTTAATTTAAAAAACATGAAAATCATTCCAATAGTTCGTGATTAATGACAGTTGTTTACTCAATAATGTTTTTCTCGTTAGAGATCAGAAATATATTTTAAATAAGAATATGTCCTATATTATGCATGGCTTATGGATCATTGAACAAAAATTTACTCATGCAAATATAATGGAAAGTGAAGTGAAAGCGTCCATATCACTGCATGAGTAAATATCAATATTAATTTGAAGAATACATAAGAAAAATTTAAAAAATTCGTACAGAAATAGGGGTCACTATGATCAATACGAAATTGAAAATTACATTTCAGATTAGAAGCATTAAGGTCAGTTAAATTTCCCCACGTTCGCTCTAAAAAGGCAGTAAATATTTCTTTCAGTTGAAGAACAACGGAATTAAATAAAAAAGTCTATTCAAAACATAAAAAATTGAAAATATGATCTATATAGAATATTCGGTTTTCTAAATAAGATGTTTTTAAAATAACTGAAATAAAACAAAATAAAGAAATGAAAAAGAAAGTTGATTTTTTTCTTTTGAATTGGAACAATACTTTTCTTTGTAAAATGTTTGTAAATGTTCGTAATAAAACAATAAAAATGTTTAATATTTCAAGATAAAATTCTGAATGTAATCAATGATCTGAAAACAAAAACAAAGATAAATAAATATGACTAAACTTTCTTATAAAATAAATATAGATGAAAAGCAGAGATTACGTGATATGTTCCTACTTGTTCTCTATTCTTTACAGTTAGTCGAACATTTTTCTTTTCAAAATATAATTATATCTAAATTTTGATACAGGTAATTATGAGAAGATTAAGGCAGTAAGTAGAAGCATATATTTAAGGCACCCATAATAAAAAGTTTAAATTATTTGAAGAACTATTTCTTTGGTAGACAATCTGGAACGCATTTCTGCTGCTGAAGAGTGACAAATGGACAAACCGAAAGATTTAATATTTGACAATTTTCATTATTCGACAGAATGATGACAAGTAGAAAAGAATTCGTTTACCTGCTCTCTTCACCTTCCAACAATTTTCTGTAGGCAGCAATTTCTAATTCCAGAGACAATTTGATGTCCATCAAATCTTGAAGCTCCTTGAGGATACTTTCCATTTCTCCACGAAGTTTGGTGATTTCTTCTTTGTATTGACAACTCTCCAGTTCATTCTGTCTATCCTTTTCTTCCAGATCGCGCAACAAATCTTGGTTTGTTCTTTCCAGCTGAGCATTCTACAAATAAGATAGAAGAAAAACATCAGAACGCCTCTTACAGAGAATGAAACAAAACTAACACATAAAATTTCACTTGCGATTTTGCATTGTATTCTATATATGCTGAAATTATTTAAAATTAGAAAACTAACTCTTAAGAACGTGAGAGAATTTCAACTTTATTTCAAAACCATTGAAAGCTACTTTCCTTTATAAAACCAATGGATAAGCTGAAAACTAGTAATATATGCTTATTTAAACCATCCTCACTTTAATTTTCTTTTAGCGGGTGAAAAGGAATTTACTACAACGTCGGAAAAGAATCTGGTGAAAACGAGTATGTATAAAGAAATTAGATTACTATTTTGTTTTGTATAATATAAACACATAATGTTATGGCCTTTATCATTTGCACTGAAGCACTCTTTTCTAACATCCATGGTTCCATATGCCTGCATAATTCTGTATTTATTACCCTCTTAATCGATATATATTTCGAAATATATAACGAAGAAGAGCAATAGATATTCACTACAAAATTCCAATTAGAAGCATTAACAAAATTAAAAAAAAACATGTTGAAAAAACAAAGCGATAAGTGACATTCAAAATTAATTATTGAATATTGGCAAGAATTAATCCCCATACCTTACTTAACCATAGTTAATCTTTAATAAAAAAAAAAACACTTCCTAATTTCAATCCCGGTTTCTTGCTAACAATGCTAAATTAAACACGATAACACATGTATCGAAATAAAAAAAAGCATACAGACTTACTTAAGTTTAAATTAGTCTTAACTTTGTAAACGATACTATAATTCCTATAGAAAGAACTTTAATCCAAATAATATTGCTTAATCAAGCAATATTATTTGTTCAATAAAAGCTCTGAAATGGTTAAAAAAAAGCTGATTTAATATTTCCAGTAGTAATACATACCCTGGCTTCCAGATCAGCAAGTCTGTTACGGATTTCAGTCATATTGCTTCTCAGTTTAGTATTTTCTTCCTTGTTACGTGTAACCTCCATGTTTTGTTTAGTAGCACCTGTACGGAATTCTTGAACCTGAAAGAAGAAATTTAGTAAAACATTATTTTATGGGATACAATCTTCTACGCTATAATTAAGTTTAAAAACCTTGAAGAAATCAAAACCAAAAAGTGAAGCAGTGAGAAAGAACGAAAAAAAGAGAAAGTATATTCGAAATGAAACATTGAGAAGTAAGAAATATAAAAGAAATGTAATTTGGAAACGGTGTAGAAAATGGAGATACAAGAAAGGAAGATACAAGAAAGGAAGAAACAGTTAAGTGGGTAAAAAGTAAAAATGGCATTAAAATAGGCAAAGTTGTAGCAAAAAGATTAAACGAAAGAAACTAAAAACAGAAAAATATTTTGATTAAAACTAAACCAATATTAACACCTTATTGCTTTCATATTTTGAATATTATATCCGCGTGAGAAATAATTATATATATATAATATAAAGAGAGAGAGAGATACAAAGAAAGAGAGAGAGAGAATATAGAGAGGTTTATATCTACTTAAGAATATCAGAATGCTTAAAAATACTATCAGCACTTTCTTTTTGTGCCTTATTTTATTACTAACAATAATAGAAAAATATTGGCAATTTTTATACTGTTTTTTTTTCACCCAATACAAGGCCCAAGGACCATTCACATTAGAGGATTACTGAATGAGATTGTTGCCCATGGATTAAAAAAATAAATAAATACAAGACTGTAGTTGTCGGCGAAGCACCCTCTCGGAAGCTTCTTCCGAAAAGTAACAGTTCTGGAGAAGAAGCTGTTGAACTTACTTTTTATCAAAGGAACAGGAAACGAATGGGAATTATTTGCCACTGTGAACATGGCATGGAAGTTCCTGTGAAGTTCTAACCTGGTGGAACTAAGGAATTTAACTCGTCTGGATGTCTGCCATAGTAATCGTAATAGAGTAGTGAGTCTAACAACGTTTGATTTGTAAGATAAGGGTTACAATGTGAAAAATAATTACCTACAAGGCCGCATAATCGCTTTTGAACTTTGTCGAGGATGGACAATGATTATTGGACAGCATCAGTCCAGATATGGCTGCAATACTCTATTCTAGGTCTGAACTGCCTAGCAACAGGAGTCAGGTATTTTTTGAAGTGATTCTGGAACCAACCATTCTTCCAGCAACTTTTATAATATATGTGTCCCATTTGAGTTTGGAAGCGAGATTTAGACCCATTAGACGTTTAAACAAAGGGCCACATGATTAGTACGTGTTTAGGGTTTGCTAGATGATAATGAAATGTCACTATAAGGAATTTAATTTCAGAAATTTCATATTCCTCAAAACAAAGTACCAAATGAATTCGGGTAAAATAATATGGGTGAGTAATGCTGTTGATAATCCAAGTATTTACGAAGTTTAGGGCAAAATACATTAATTATGATTAATTGATCACATACTACATAAGGAAGTAAAATCAGATATCATACCTTAAGGTTGTAATAAGCTTCGATATCTCCTCTCATTTGGTCACATTTGGCGTCATACTCTTGTTGAATGTCACGGATTGCCTGGGCCAGTTCGTTTCTCCAGAACTCACGGTTTTCGGCAGTTGTATCACGATAAGCCAATGCGGCGAGTTCCTTCAATTCCTACGAAGAAAAAGATGAAAACGATAGCATTTTATTTCATTTATGGTTAAGTTTTAAATAGGGAAATTTTCATAAATAAAAAAATAACATTATTTAACTGATAGATTTTATGGTGATTTTGAATGTCAACCTTTTTCCAACTTATTGTACTGAAAATGCGTGCGTCGATAAAATACAACTATGACATTAGTCAAGTGCAGAAAAGCTTTACTTTTGAAAAACTGATCAGCTTTGGTAAATTATTTCTAATGATCCTTAAAAGTTGTGCACTGCCGAATGTCATGAAATCCAAGTTTTAGAATTATAAAAAAATGATCTCTGTTAAAAACTATTTTAAAACTATGCAAGTTTGCAATTATATTTATTTAGTAACAACTTAAGAATACAGCATCGAAAATTAAACTTTGCAACAATAACTTGTCTTCATGTTTCAAATGATTATTTCAAAATATCTTATTAATGTTAATTTAAAATAATATGGATGTCATGAAATCAGATTAGTAAAAATATTTTGGAAGATGGCGTTTGTTATTTCTTTACTAAACAATAAGAAAAATGCTAATATTACTGCTTGTATGACTATATTTCTATCTAACTCGAAATAAGCTAGTCTCAAAGTTATGGCCAATAAAAAAATTCCACTTTCATTGTTGATACTACTTTGGATATAATAACCGATTTTCTCTGGATTTAAATGACTTAAAATTCACTCACCTGGGCATGGACATCTTTTTGGAATTCAAGTTCTTCCTCTAATGTTTGTCTGCGGTTTTCAGCATCCAAATGATTTATAGTCTCGTTATTTAAGTCCTGCACACAGAAAAAATAAACTGTTTGATAAAGTGTTTCTTCACTAAAAAGCAATTGTTCGATTTTATAAGGATTATATAAAAATGGGAAAAGACAAACTTATATTTTCTCATATTCATATGCAAAACCAATAAAATTATTCGAAGATCTGACAAAAGATGTAACAGAAAAACATGAATTATTTTGCAGAAATCTTTCGTATTTATTATTAAAGTTGATTACTATAAATTCATTTCTCAATAAACATTTTTAATGTCTTCCTTTATTTTATTATCCGAAATAGTATTGACATGTTCAGTAATATTCCTGTTTAGAGAAGGGATTTATACATTTTTTGAACGTGAAATTGCTGAGTCTTTTTAGGTTTCTGACATGGAGTTCTATCCTCTGTGAAAACGTTATTTGTAGAACAAATAAATGTCAGTGAATTGCCAGGGAAAGTATTTTCTATCGAATAGATATGCATGTTTCTGAACTGATATTTCTCACACTCCTCAGTATCTTTTAACGATCAGTGGCCCAGATTTTCTTTTCAATTCATAACCAAATTTTCAAGTTTGATGGAAGTAAGCACACAGTTCAAACAAAATTCTTCCTGTTGGAAAACTGAGCAAACCGGGAATTGTTTGAAAACTACAATGATTTCTTTTTGTTCATTAGTATATTGTATGATCACGCCGTTAACATTTCCTAAATTATTTCAAATTCAAATTTACTACGAGATTACTTTTGAAATCTGACAATGTTCATGGAATGTGCAAAATTGTGACATGCTTGTGCAATTATTTATATTGCATTTATATATATAAAAAAAATAGTAATTGTCATTGAGTGTATCTTTATAAAGTGACAAAGACAGTTTTCTGCATTTATTAATAAACCTGTTTGAATTTATCTTTAAAAAATCACGATTTTATTTTTTACGTACCCAAGCATTAAGCGTGAATGCATCGCATAATAAAGTTTATATGTGTGGGAAATTGTGTCCATCAGAAAATCCTAATAATCATGCAAAATATTAAGAAGCACCATATATGATTATCAATATTTAAGGTTGGCCTGATTAAAGTATATCAGTTAGAATCTTTAGCAACGGCAAGGTCCACCGATTGATAAATAACAGCGTTTTCGTATTGTCTATTTGTTAGAAGGAACACGCGGCAGCAGTAAAATGAAAGAAAGTGATGTTAGAATCGTCTGCAGAATAAGGGCGGGGAGTCATGAAAGAATTAAAATAAAATGCTAATAATTTCGATATATTTCAAATATGTACGAACTTCACATACAAGAACTGCAATTATGAAAGACTTGATTAAAAAGCAAAAGAAAGGAGATATTTGTTAATGGAAAGATGGACAAATAATGAATGGCTTCATATATATATATATATATATATATATATATATATATATATATATATATATATATATATATATATGCGCGAATGTTTGCGAGTGGAAATATAAATATAAAATAAGAGTTAAAAGGAAGATGAAGTTAATAGCAGAATGAAAAAGAATCCCTAATAAATATAAAAGTAGAGACAAAGAAGAGAAGGAGAGATAGAATGGTTTTCAATTATAAATAGTATAAGGAGACAAGAAAAACTTTTTAGAAATAAAAAATACCAAAATCAAATGGAACAAAAATGACCTTTTACTTTTAGCGCAAAATCAAGGATTCTTTGCATTGAGGTAATACGTAAAAGTGAAATATTTACAGAAATTTCAATTTTTGAAATTTTATCTTTTAATTTTCTTAGCATTTTACAGCGACTCGAGAAATTTGCTGTTAAAATCTATCAAAGATGATAACACTGGTCAGTAAATAGAATAGAAGAGAGATGAGCGTCTAGATGAAGGTCAAGGAGAGTTAGTAAAATATCTTAACAACGATAATTCTAAAAATAAAGTATTTTGTTTATTTTTACAAATAAAAAACTTGAAGCCAACATTCATAAACCAATTTGTAAAATTTTCATGCACCTTAGTTTATTCTTAAAAATGTGAAAGAAAGAAAGAAAGAAAGGGAGAAAGAAAGAAAAGAAAAGAAAATTGTAGGATTAAAACTATTCAATGAACGATGGGGGAACATAAGTAGTAAAATTCATGCATTGTGACGAATTAAATGAAACATTCAAATTTATTATTGCCAAAGATTTGAAGAAATGAAGGGGAAAATAAAACAAAAAATATGAATAAATATACCAGAAAAGGAAATAAAACAAAATTAACTGAGAAACTAAATCAAATTTTAAAAGAATGAAGCAAAATTTTATCTTTGCTTTTACTTTCAATTATTGTAAAAGAATCAAACAAAATTTAAGTAAATCTGTTTTAAGCCACTTGGGAACAAAACGGCGAACATATTTGAAGTGGCCAGAGCTATATAAGCACACACGGGCAAAAAGTAACTGAGCCACGTGTATTTACAGACAACGAAAGAGAAGAAAGAATGAATAAAGTCAATGCATACGCTAGTGAATTGTAGATCTGTTAGTTATTTCTTTTTTATCTTTTAGGACATGCAATGAAAGCTGCATTCATTTATTTGATATTGGCTCAACCAAGACTTTCACATGTCAGATCAATATAATTGGCCACCCTCACACATAGCGTTTCAAACAGTTGACTATCTCTGTCAGTTTGTTACTAATGAAAGGATTGAAGTCATTACATAACCACACAAAACTGTTACACTCTGGTTGCCATTTCGATACAAACAAAGAAGACACTGGGTCAGAAAATAATGACATTAACTACGACTGCCATTCGCCTAAGAAACTAATAGTCGAATTTTCTTCTCTATTAAATAACCTCAAATGACTGAGAAGTATGTTTGTTTTGTTTTAATTTTAGATTGGATGTGATACAAACGTTGTAGGAAAAAAAAACGAAAGTAAATGACTTTGAAAATCAAACATTGACTTCTTTAAATGCAATATTGAAGGAACACAGTAAGGCAGATGATGCCTAAATTGATGAAAATGTTTTGTGATTATGTAATAACTGACAATAAATAAAGGAAAATGACGACCACTACTAGTTGTTCACAGATTAGTTCACAACATAACAAAATAATAATAATAATAATAATAATAATAGCAAGAGCGGAATTTTAGGAGGTCTTACATGAACGACCGAATCCGTTTCCTGTGAGAAGAAAAGTAAATGGAAATAAGTAACAATGATCAAAAATCAATTAAAAGCGCGATTGCAGTAGAGATAAAAAGAGAGCGCTCATAAATGTGAGGAGAAGTGAGAAAAAAAGAGGGACATTAAGTAAGAGAGAGTGGCTAAATTTTGGCACTAAGATTAGTTTTCAGAATAATCGGTGCTTTAAGAATCAGTCGAATAAAACATTCAACTTTGCATCCTTGAAGAACATGGATAGATCTCCTACAAACAGAAGTCTTAATGCTATGCCTTTTTTCCGTTTTGGGTTATAATCCCGGATCTTAAAACCACGAATGTTTAAATCTTGAAATTTAAAATTCCGAAACTTGAAATCCTGAATGTATCAAAATCCCGAAAGATCAAAAAATTAAAAATCCTGAAAGATCAGAATAGCAAAAGATAGTCTTTGGGAGAAATTGAAAAAACATTTTTGAAAATACCTTTATTTCTAAACATCTACAAAATAGCGTTTAAATAGTGTTTATACATTTGAAACATTCAAACTTCATTAAAAAATATAAAACCAGAATATATAAATAATTTAAAATGAAGGATTATGAGCAAGAAGCCCTAAGATAGTCCATAAGATCCGGTTGGTTCGCATGATTGTTAACTATATTTTTAAGCCTTCATCACGATAAAACACACATTTTTTTGAACAAGACTCTCCTCGAAGAATGCGTTCACATTCGTTTTTTACGGGCTGCTGCTCTTTTTGAAACTCTCCAATAATGCGATAAACATCGACATGAGCATTGCCTACTAAATTTATCCATTGTCTTTTCCATATTTTGATTTTTTTTTTTAATGAATTTTGAATGTTTCGAATGTATTTAAACGCTATTTTGTAAATGTTTAGTAATAAAGGTATTTCATTTTTTTTTTAATTTCTCCCAAAGATTATTTTTCAGGATTCTGATCTTTCGGGATTTTATAAATTCGGGATTTCAAATGTCGGTATTTTAAATTTCAGGATTTCGACATTATGATCGGCGCCCCCATTTTTCTTTACTTTTTTGTATTTATTTTTGGGAGGAAAATGAGAAAAGCGAAGAGAAATGGTTTATGTAATTTTTCAGTGATGGGTATTTCTCTTTCATAATCTTGAGTGAATAGCAGTTGTTTAGAATAGTTACACTAAAATGGAAATAGTTTTAATTTATTTTAGAAATTAAATTTCCATCAAAGAAATTTCAAGATAGATAATCAATTCACTGTCAGAACAATAGACTGGTTAATAGAGGAATAAAAACAAATTTCAGACACTAATGTAATTTGCGGTTAAATACCCCATAAATATAGAGGGCACTGATATACTAACAGAGAGATGAAGTTAATGATTTGCAGATTAAAGAAAATATAGATACGTCAAAATAGGTACTTTGCAAGTTACATTTTATTGAAAATTGATCTCTCGGTCATTTAAACTAATTTTAGTTTTGGAGGATAATATTAAAGCAATATATTAGATGGTATATTAAAAAGACACAAATATTCATTCATGGCGAGTGAGAATCAACCAAGATGTATAAAAATGATCGATCCAACGTTGCTAGCATATAATACAAGAACCTCCTATTTAATTTTTGCATGTAAGGTTGTTTTAAGAAATCTAATTAAGAAAAGATCAACTTTGAAATAAAACGATGTAAGATAAAACAAACTACATGGAGGAAGTAGAAAAAATTAGGATATATAATGAAATAAGGACGCAATTGTAAGAAAGCAATTAGGCATTTATAAATGTTAAATCTTATTTACAAATGACAGTGAATTTCTCTCTGTACTTCTGGAATGATGAGTTATTTAAATTTATTTCAAGTAAAATTAATGTCAACGTCTTTATTGTTACTATATCAAACTTTCGGCCGTTGTACCCTCCAGCGTAATTTCAAACTGAACCACTTATTCAATGTAAGTTTGTTATATTGTAATCGTTTTGCTATCCATGTCTAATTAAGACAAACTATTCCCTAGAAATAGACAGTGGAATTAGAACAATCTAAATTCTCTGAAGTTTTCCTTTAAGGATCAAACATAATAGGTTAGAATAAGTTTCTTTCTGGGTTCCTTAAAATTGATATTGTCACGGCAGTATATCTCAATTGGTGTGTGTGTGTGTGTGTGTGTGCTCATGTTTGTTATAGAAGCGTGCTTTTATAAACTAGTGGTAGAAAATAAGAGGCAGATACGTAATAACGTGGAGTTTCTTCATTCGCCAGAATGACGGTGGTTACATGACGTTATATAGTCTACGAGGTTCTGTAATCGTTGAGTCATTATATTTACACAAACGCGTTCTAGAAGCTGCCTATAACTGTTGTTTGCTTGGTGTAGCTGTTGAGAATTTAGTGAAGTTTGCAACTTGTCTCATACATACTAAAAAAGTCTTATATCTGGCGGGTGCAAGGAACAGTAAGTTACCTGCAAGTTAGTAGAGTATCCCTTGAACCATTTTTATATCACGATGGGGGTCTTTCTTTTTCTTACTGGAACAGTCATCACCGGCAAACATGGTGCGCATAATGATGGGCAAATTTCATGCAACAAGAACTGTACATGTCAAATCTGTCAAGAATCCATTTTCACAAGTGGTCCTTACGAACTCCAACAAAGCACTCTTATCGAATTATCAAAAGCTTTCAATACAGGTTGGATGCAGAGTACCGTGCAGTAATCTCCTCACACAAAGTCAACTGACTAAATTCCTGAAAATGTTATTCGTAGAAGATCGGACGCCAGTTTTTAACAGTCCAATGGTGATGTTTTTTGGATATGACGAGACGATATAACAGATGTCATGGTATCAGTAATGCTAAGTTTGCTGATCGGCAACTGCTACGAAACCTGTAGAATTCAGTGGACGATATATAGGACATTTATTGAAGGTTGAGTGGCATTTGCGGTTAAATTGGGATGTGATTTGATGCAATTTTCTTCTTTGATAGGTGTTTACCAGATTTGACAGTCATCAGTAGCCTCATTCTTGCATAACCTGCTGGCACGCGTAGTTTTTATATATACAATTTCTACTGTTTCCCAAGAAAAACTTAAAGCATCTGCCACATCAAGAGAGTGTTCCATCTTTTTAGACAGTCCTATTAAATACTGTTCCCAACACATGATTTACACAGGCATACTATGAAAGCACTACATTTTCACCTATTAAGTCATACATACGTCATCCAACTGAATGTATTTATACAAGTATTCAATATACAACAGTGTTTAAATTTTTGGTACTTCCGTCTATAGCGAATGAATGACATGACGTTAATCTTAATTTTGGAGATTTTAAATCTGACATAATAATGCACGATTTAGACGCTCAGTTTATGCGCATCATTATTAATGTGTACATATAAAACACCTCTACCCAGATTACATACATACACACACACACACACACACATATATATATATATATATATATATATATATATATATGAACAGCGAGAAACAGTTTTTGGGCGGCTAAAACTCGGACACGATTAAAACATAAATCATAACCATCAGTTGATAAATCAATTAAATTTGTCGAGATAAAAACGAATATAATTAATAGACAACACTGAACAAAGTGCCAGGAATAGATAAAAAGAGAGGGAGAAAAAAATTAATGTTTTCCCAGAAGAAGAAGGGGACGAACAAATCTCTCCTTTTTATCGACAAAGAGTTGACTCTCTCAACTAGATAGTGACAGCCTCAACGATCCTGAGAAAGGACGGGGTCGTAATTTATACACAATCTGAAACCAGTTCTCGCTATTGACCAGAACAAATAGGATTTTAATCAAGTGCTGGCTAATGGCAGAATCCAACGCCGATTGTGTTACTCGTGATGAACAACGCATCTCCCCCCGTCTAATACAGGTTGGAATATGCTGGTTTATTCTCCTAACAAAGCGTCAGTTTGCTCAACATAATTAGCATCGCACTGACATTTAAAATAATAAACAACAGAACTATTAGCGAAATGGTAAAACTTATCCTTATGAAAAGATGGAAAACACTTCTAGTTGAGAAAATAGCCCATAATTTATTGGTCCAATAACACTCAAAAATGTAGGAAACAATTTCGTTAACCAAAAGTTGACCATTTTTTCCAATCCAAAGTAACTTCAAGTAAATAGGATACTTGTCAGAACCATACATAGGAGAAGAGGAGAATTAAATTTTTAAATTTTATGTGAAATAACACATCCTCAAAATAACCATTATCAGGTGGATGTTTTATCTTTCGTAACCGCTACAACCTTACAGAGGAGCAAATCATTAACGCACGATTCACCAATCTACTAATAATAATTTTATAAATAATATTTTTTCAACGATTTTCAACGAAGGGTTGGTCGAAAGATTTATATATAGATATATATAAGATATATCTCCACTCTTTTTATTATTAAGATGTTGACATCTATCCTATTTAAGGCAATAATAAATTGTTTATATATGTCACTAAATTAAAGTTTTCCTCTCAGTTTATTTTCCGAAAGCAACTGCAGTTGTAAGTAATGATAGAACAAAACTTAAGGAAAATAAATCGATGCGTTATTTTGGGAATCTTAAGTAATACTTAATACTTAAACGTAATACTTCTGACAGGAAAAGAATTTTAAGTGATAATTTCATATTTTGATTTGCTATCGTAAGAAAACTATTGTTACAAACAAGCGGTTAATAATGATTTCCTTCCTCGTTGTCTCTTTCTGTCGTATAATCTTTTCCTGATGATATCTTTTCTTTGCCAGGTCAACCTTGAGTCAACTTAAAAAAAGCTGATATAAAACCTCTTAATAAATTTAAATTGACTCAGTAAATATAAATACGTGGACCAAACAAATATTCCTTTGCCCCCTTTAATTTTCGTCTGGTTTTATTTTTACAAAAGTTACCAACGTATAGAAAATATGAGAGAAGAAAGTATTCAGTTAGGAATCTAAGAGCTAAAGCTGAAAGATCAAAATAATAATATATCCCTTTTTATAAATGATGGGTTTTAGCATAATTTGAAACATATATCAGTTACATATGTTTTAAATTACGCTAAAACCCATTAATATTGTTAGATAATTGACGGAAACTACCATGATGTTGCCAGAGAAACTAAAATTGCATCCTATTATTCTTATTTGTCCCACTGTACTGGCTCAAAACCTTATTTCTATCCTATTAGTAAACTTATCTAAGTAGATTTGTTATACTAGTAATGTATCTAATTGCCGTTCAGTTTAATCATAGTTTTGTGAAGCAAAATTAGCACAATAGGAAGCCAATAAAAGTTAATAAAAGTTAATAAAATACATTAAACCAGCAAACGAGAGAAAATACAAAAAAAAACGAAACAATGATGATTGTAATTTAAAACAATCTGCATTTCCCAGTCATTTTAATATGAATGTATTTTCATTCATAACTGACAACTTAGCTTTTGATTAAATTAATTTTAACTGCAATTAAGAACGCGTTATCACTTTAGCAAATATGACTGTGTTTATACTTAAAACAATGGAATTTGTGAAAAAAATAATGATCACATATTTATTTACACACTGTGTTTCGTGATTTTTCATGTATTTTTCTACATTTGCATCTTAGTTTTACGAGTGTTGAAAGCTTCAAGATTTTCTCTAAAATATTTAGATTTCAAATAACATTCAATCAGTTTCACATTTTTCCTTTTCAAATTAAAAGTAGCTCATACGTTATTTGATGACCCACAATCCTTCTTTTTTCTATTGCCAATTTAAAAAAAAATGAAAAAAAAAAACAGTTTTAAAGCTTCAGATGATTTTATTCCTAGTGACCGGTACTAATCGAACTAAATAAATAACATAATTATTGTGGTTGTGTTCATGATCAATTAAGTTGCATTATCACAGTTGATAGGCATATGATATGAAAGATACATTCTACCAAGTTGATATGTTAACCAAACAAGGAAATAATTGGAATAACTTAAGATACGAAATTGGCATATCACCTGTAATAAATTCCCAAAAGCTGTATAACTGACTTAAATATCGCCGCAATGTGAATTAATAAAGTAATAGTTACTCAGAAGAGTTACACACCTTATGAAGACTTCAATAAACTATAAATTAAAGAAATGCAATACGTTCAATTGAATTTTAATGCTGAAGATTAATGACCACTGAAGAAAAAAAAGATTTTAAGAATAGCCTCACACATTTAAAAGCTATATTCATGTTTAATCAGATATAGTATAAGATTCGGCCTAAGGTGTACTTGGTGATTCTCACATCTAAAACCGAATTAAACGTATTGCTAATCCGATCAGCGCATATCGAAATAAAACAGAATTGCCCTTGTCTGCTTGTTAAGGATGATAATTGATATATAAAAAGTCTGAAAGAGAAATATTTTTGTTAATTTTTGGATAATGCATACCATTCGTAGTTTTTCCATTTCGTCGTTCATCTTGGCTAAAATGTTGGATTGTCTCATCTTTTCTTTCTCGAGAGATTCAATAGACCGGCGGAGCATGCTAATCTCACCTTCCAAGTCAGCAAGTTGCTGGTTTTGCCTAGCAATTTGTTCCTGATCAATTTGATGGTATGTACGACTTTCTTCTAGGCTATAAGTAGAAAAGAGAAAAGGAATAATTAATTCATTTAAATCTGAGAGCGAGCCTTTCAAAACGATTATCAACGAAATAATGAAAAATAAAACTATATATTTACAAGATATGGAAAAGGGGAAAGGGCAAAGATTTTTATAATGTGTAACTACGGAATCAATAATTATGCCATATGTGCATAAAGAATTACATAAATAAAGTAGTATATTAGATATCAGATGTAAATAAATATGCAAATGAAGCTAAAGATTACGAAATTCTGCTCTAAAATCGTCATGGCTTAAAGAATCTGTGATTATATCAGTAAGTTTAAATTCATCATCCTTAGCAACATGGAAAATAAGCATCCCAAGTAGTAGTAGAAATAGTAGTAGTAGTAGTAGTAATGAGTGCTATTGTGGCTAACAGTCTTATATTTTTATTATGTAACAGCAGTCACTACGTTCATTTCGTTACGAAATTAATTTATAAGTATATGGTTTTCTTTTTAAAATTAGATTAAATTAACGAAGTACTCGTGAAGTGTAACCGCGAATTTACAAGTATCTAAATACATTAGTAATATAAGGAAAATTCAGTATTCGTAATGAGATATTTATAAGTCGAAGTTAGTAATATATTGAAAATCGCTGAACAGTTGCAGCTAAAGACGATAAATTTCAGTTGCGTAAAACGTTATATGACGTTTACAATTGTGAACAGAATTGTTCCAGTAAGTCTTTTTTCAGAATCAAATGTGAAACGCTCATAAAAAGATGTAAATGTTCTATGTTGATTCCAGCTATACGCATCGTAGTCAGCTGATTTTAACTCATGCCATCTTTTGTATAAAGGTAACACGTCGCTCACTCCCTCATACACATGCACACACATGCGCGTGCACACACACACACACATGGTTTCTCTTTCCTTCATTTATATTTTTTATTTGATTAAATACACAATAAAAGTCAGCCAGATGTTCCACACGTTCGATAGTTTTGACTTATCAGCTGACGGCGGCATAAAGTCGATAGTATTGATTAACGGATGTTACCATCCTGTTCACGACAACATTGAATGAATAAAACGCTCGACATCAGCCAGATTTGTTCACTGTCATCCACTTTTCTCTTCACTCATTACTTATTACTTCCAATCTATGTTTTCATCTTCCATTTTATTTTCTACACGCCCGGCTATCGAATAACTTTTCTTTCATTCATTTCTTCTTTATTTGTTGATTTTCTTCTCTCATGTCTTTCCAGATATATTTCTGCTCATGAACAATATTTTTAATTTCCATCTTACTTTTCTTAGAGAATTACAACTCTGTACCATTATTTCTTTTCATACCTACATACTTATAGGGTTCAATTTTCTCTTTTAAATGTTTCCTTTTATCTTTTCTGAGTTTTAGTTTTTACAAATGCTTTACTTTTACAATTTATTTTTAGTAAATTTAATTTCGCTACATTGGAAAAAAAGTGTCTCGGCAAAATATCTTTGCTCTGATTTTTATATGATGTAACTTTATTTCCAAATAAAACAAAAATAACAACTATTGCTATAGTGTCAAAGAAAAAGAATACTTGCTGCAATTATTACTTCGACAACAAAACATCCTTTATTTTCTTTAAAGTCTGATTTGAAGGTTTTCATACTTACACCCCCCATTACACTATATACAATTTTCCCATAAATTTGTAATAACATATGTATAAATCCAAAAATAATAAAAATAAAATAATTATTCTGACAAAGACAATGGGTGTAATATTCGTTCGAGGAATAAAAAACTTGAATAATTCCTTAATCACATTTGGCAACTGCCATGCAAGCTAGAACCGGAAGCCATTGTTTTGTATCAGACTAAGAAAGATGCGGAGAAATTCTTCGACGACGTTTTTAATGGTACAGGTCACAAGCAAGTAGGTTAAATATATTCATACAAGACAAAACTCTTTCACATACTACAAAGCTGATCATTACTCATCTTGCCAAGAAGAATTTCAAAGATACCAAATCAATTATATGAATACAAACTCTTCATATATTAATCCAATAGACAAATATGTAGTCTAGCATTAAAAGAATGGAAATCAATATTCAAATGAAGAAGATTTCTGGGAAACAATAAAAAATAGGAAGAGGAGAAAAGTTAAAATCAATGATTGAAAGATTGATGAATATTATAGGATGTCAATGAACTCATGTTAAATAATTGCATAAGTTATTCCGGTATTTCGGATATTGTATTAATCAAATATATTTCTATTGCCTAATTATTATAAACTGAAGCTCACATGACAGATTACTCTTATAAATATAAGTATATTCTGAAATATATGAATATAGATTAGTTAATACAACTTGCATAATAACATTTAACATATAAGTTATAAGTGGGTTAGGTATTTGAAAAAAAAAGGGCGTAAGATTATCTCAGACAAATAATCAGCAGTTATTCAATTTTATTGATCAGACTACTCGATTTCTTGCAACCATCACGAGACATTAATATCTCTTGTTAGTGCGAGACAGTAATACATTGAAATGGGAAAACGTGTATTACATAAAAATTAAAGTCTATTCCATCAGCGTCTATTTTGTAATCGTCTTGCTACAACTTTTTATACTTGGAAATACAATAGAATATTTCTACTTTATCGAAGGAAATATAAATATACAGTGTAAAGTGAAGAGCAAAAACAAGAATAGGAAATTTGACTACTGTTTCGCACTTCCAAGAGATATTAATATCTTGTGATGGTTTACAGTTTTTCAGATCAACAAGATTCTGTTCATGGCGGAAGAGAAAAGCAACATAGTAACAATAAAAAGAGAGAAAGAATGGCTGATGTCTTGTAAGGCTCTCTTCACTCTTTGATTGGACAATATCAAAATAATTAGTGTAGCCAAATATCCTTTTAATTAAAAGAATATTTAAATTATTTTCTTAAAGAGACTTCGTCGTCATTCAATGGATTAATCCAGACTAAATTATTAAACATTGCCAGTTTAAATTTCCTTAAAAAACTCTTTATCAAGTCATATTGTCTCATGTTAACGTAAAGCGCGAGTTTTGTTATAATATGCAGTGTTTTTATGTATACACATATTTTTATGTAATATGTGTTACAACAAATTAGAAAATTCATAACCACAAAGACACGAAGAAACTGGTGTATCAGAATGTCAAGAGAAATTTTGATTTCTCTTATCTTATGCTGGCTAAGCAAAATATTACGATGTTTTACAATAATACGCATTAAGCTTATTTAAATGCGAAAATAATGTGTATTACATAAAAGTTAAAGCAGCCTTTTGAAGTCTATTCCATCATCGTCTTGCTACAACTTTTTATACTTGGAAATGTAATAGAATATTTCTACTTTATCGAAGCAAATATAAATATAGAGTGTAAAGTGAAGGGCAAATACAAGTATAGGAAATTTGGGAAAATATACCGCAAAACATTCTGAAATGGACACTAGCATTAGTTATACAATTTTATGCAAGGAAACATGTACACAGCTTCTTTCAAAAGTCATGTTTCCCAGCAAAGGCTCTCATTCTATTGGACATTATTTCAGAGCAAGACATCTACCATATAGAATAACAATATTACGGTGGTTTTGAAAAAGACAGCCAATTTTTACAATTGCATTTTCAATTTTCTTGTTGTAGATCTTCCATTTGTAATTTTGTTTCAGGATCAAGCTACACGGCAATGATATACTAGAGTCTTAGAGAAATGTTTGATAAATATTACGAAATTCTTCCTTGACTGGTATTGTCGTTCATAAGACATTTTCGATCCATATTTCGAAATTCAATTAATTTTTTTTCAGAAAGAACAGTTACGAAATCATTGAAGTAGAGAAATATTTACCCCAAAATATTTCCAGCTGTCAGGTTGATTATTGACCTAAGTCATACAGAGGAGGATTATATTTGTCTCAAATCGACTTTTACGACTGCAGTTGAAAAAGTAATCGTCATTACTATTCTGCCAATACTGATACCAAAAATGTGTTTGGATTTTAATTTCAAATAAAACAAGAGTCACTATGATTTTACAAGTATTCAAATAATGTACATAAAAGTAGTGGCACTAAATATAATAGCTTAACCTTGAATCAGTCTTTTTTTCAGTTACTTGCGTTGGGGAATGAGTATCTTTTACAAAATCACCTACTACTTGTCTACTTTATTAGACTTACTTCAACTTCTTAGTAATCATTTACACTAAGTCAGTTTTCTCATTAAGCTTTTTTCTCTTTATACGTCACATAACTAGAGGCATTTCCTACAAGATTCATAGGTGTGCACGAATTGAAACTAAAATTGGTAGAGTATCTTTTTAAAAGCATTTTTCTTAACCATATAAGGTCTAGGCTAACCGACCAATCGTAGAATGCTACTCACCCTAGGAATGCCAATACGCTGAGGTCAAATTCACTAACGCCCAACCAAGCAGATATTATTCGCTATTTCTTTTAGTTTATTTAATTAGGAGCGGCAACTAGTTTCATGAGAATCGATTACGACAACCATTTCGATATTTTAGTGTTTGATTTAATAATGAAATAAACTGTGTAAGGCAGAATCATTATGGTTTCTACCAGAGAGGTATATGTGTGTGTCTTATATCTGTATGAGTCCAAGCGATTAAAATATTCAACGTCACTGCAAATTATTATACTACTATGTAATACGTAAAGATCTGGGGTGAATCTTCCACTTTACTACAACTACTACCACACCCAACGATAAAAGTATTAGTCTTGCTATAAAAAAAAACCTATTATACTACACCCACAGCTAGTGCTACTAATACTAGCAATAATAATTGATATTCTCCCAATTTCTTGTAACAAAGCTACAGATGCAATTCATTTGTTTCATTTATACTTTTTATATTAGTTTCACTGAATCATTTATATATCTCACATTAGTAGCAGCAGCTAAATTTTTCTGTATTTTTTCTCGTTTGTTTATTAGTAAAATTTCTT